AAGACAGGGATTAATGCTGGTTTCCTACTTCCTAGCTGTGTGTTCTTAATAAAATCACTTCACCTCTCAGTATCCAAGTCTTGCCACCTGTGAAATGAGGGTCCTAACAGTATCTACTTCACAGAGTTGTTGCGAGAATTATGTGAACTAATATATGCAAGGCATATAGCACAGAGTCAGGCATAGGAGACACTACATATAAGTCAGCATAAAACTGTCCAACCCTGGGCTCAGCTCTGACTTGCAGCCTCTCATGGAATCCTCACAACAGTGCCAAGAGGTGGACTCTCTTATAAACCCATTTTACATATGAAGAAACTGAGGCTCAGATGATATGTCAACACACCCATTATAACAAGTGAGTGTCAGAGTCGGGATTTACATAAGATTTACCTGACTTCTGTTTTCTAACCAAGATGTTCAGCCACCTCTTAAAATTAAATTTGAGGACAAAAGTCCCCAACAAAAAAATACTAGCAAACCAAACCCAGTAGCATATTAAAAGGATTATACACCACGACCAAGTGGGATTTAACCTGGGAATGCAAGGTTGGTCCAACATGTGAACATAAATCAATGTAGTACACCACATTAAGAGGAAAAAATGCACGAAGTGAAAAAATCACATAACCATCTTGATTGATGCAGAAAAAGTATTTGACCAAATCCAACATCCTTTCATGATTAAAAACCAACAACAAACGAGGAACAGAAGGGAACTTCATCAACCTGATAAAGGACATTTATGCAAAACTCACAACTAATATCATACTCCATGGTGAAAGACTGAAAACTTTCCCCTAAGATCAGGAACAAGATAAGTATGCCTGATTTCATCACTTCTATTCAACATTGTATTAGAAGTTCTAGCCAGAGTAATCAGACAGGAAAAAGAAAAAAAAGACATTCAAACTGGGAAGAAAGACATAAAATTATCTGTTTTCAGATGACATGATATTATATAAAGAAAATCCTAAAAAACCCACAATTACTGCTACTAAATAAATTTAGCAAAGTTATAGGTTATAAGATCAACACACAAAAATCAGTTATGTCTCTATACATTAGTGATGAATAATTCAAAAATGAAATTAAGACAACAATTCCATTTACAGTAACATTTAAAAGAAAAAAATGGTTAGGAATAGTGAAGGATGTACAAGACTTGTACACTGAAAACTACAAAACATTGCTGAAAGAAATTAAAGATGACCTAAGTAAACAGAAAGACATCCTGTGTTCATGGACTGGAAGACAGTATTGTTAAGATGGAGACATTCCCCAAAGCAATCGAGAGATTTAATACAATCCCTATTAAAATCCCAATGGACTCTTTTTCAGAAATGAGAAAGCTGATCCTAAAATTCACATAGAATTGCAAACAATCCAGAATAGGCAAAACAATTTTGAAAAAGAACAAAGTAGAAGAATTCACACTTCATGAATTCCAAAACTTACTCAAAGCTACATTAATCAAAACAGTGTGGAACCAGCATAAGGACAGACAAGTAGACCAATGAAATAAAATTGAGAGCCCAGAAATAAACCCACACACATAGGGTTAATTGATTTTTAACAGGGGTGCCAAGACCATTCAATGGCGAAAGAATAGGCCCTTCAACAAATAGTGCTGGGAGAACTAAATATCCACTGGCAAAAAAATGAAGTCAGACCTCTGCCTGACACAATATACAAAAATTAACTCAAAATAGATCAAAGACCTAAATATAAGAAAAAAAAGATAAATCAGACTTCATCAAAATTCAAAACGTTTGTGCATCAGAGGACACTACCAAGAAAGTGAAAAGAAAACCCCCAAAATGGGGGAAAATATTTGCAAGTCATACTCCTATATCTGATAAGGGTCTAGGATCCAGAATACATAAAGAACTCTTACAACCAAACAACAAAAAGAAAAGAATGTAATTAAAAAGTGGGTAAAGGACTTGAATAGGCATTTCTCCAAAGAAGATATACAAATAGCCAATAAGTGCACGAAAAGACACAACATCATTACCCGTCAGGGAAATACAAATCAAAACCACAATGAGATGCCACTTCATACCTACTAGGATAATTACTATAAAAAACTGGAAAATAGTAAGTATCGACAAGGATGTAGATACCCGTCAGGGAAATACAAATCAAAACCACAATGAGATGCCACTTCACACCTACTAGGATAATTACTATAAAAAACTGGAAAATAGTAAGTATCGACAAGGATGTAGATAAACTGGAACTCTTGTACATTGCTACTGTGAATGTAAAATAGTGCAGCTGCTGTGGAAAACAATTTGGCAGTTCCTCAAAAGGTCAAACATAGAGTTATCATATGACCCATCAATTCCACTCTTAGGTATATACCTAAAAGAACTGAAAACAGGTATTCAATCAGATACTTACAAACAAATGTCCATAGCAGCACTGTTCACAATAGCTAAAAGGTGAAAACAACCCAAATGTGCATCAATGGATGAATAAACAAAATGTGGTATATTCATACGATGGAATATTATTCAGCTATAAAAAAGAATGAAGTTCTGATACAAGCTACGATACAAATGAACCCCGAAAACAGTGTGCTAAGTGATGGAAGCCATACGCAAAAGGGGTCACATATTCTATGATTCCATTAAATAAAATATCCAGAATAGGTAAATCCATACAGACAGAAAGCAGAAGGGGGTGGTTTCCCTTTGGGGAACTCCTCCTGAACTGTGTGAGTGACTCCGGGTGCTTCACCTCCCCTGGCCAAGGGGAAGACACCGACCTAAGCTAGGCTAATCCCATGCCCTCTCATTAGAATTTGAGCCCGGAATGATGTAGAATTCCTTTTGCCCCCTGGTGCAGTGTCCCAAGGCTGCCCTGCTCTCTGTCCTTTGTGCCACTCAATGCTTCTGACTGCCCTTCAAATCTGTGAGACTCCTCATGTCCTTCCATTAATCTCACTCTGAGTTTAAGTTCGTCAGATTAGTTTCTATTGCCAGCAAACAAAGAACACTGGCTAACGTAGGAGACAGAGACTGTGGCTTCCTACCAAAGTTGCATAGGGTCTGAGGTCAGGGTTCAGGGGACAAGGCAGATTAAAGACTGTATTTTCCACCATCTTTTGCAGCTATAGGGATATCCATGTGACTAGGTTCCGGCCAACAGGACATAAGTAGAAGGGCAATGTGTTGCATAGGGTCTGAGGTCAGGGTTCAGGGGACAAGGCAGATTAAAGACTGTATTTTCCACTATCTTTTGGAGCTATAGAGATATCCATGTGACTAGGTTCCGGCCAACAGGACATAAGTAGAAGGGCAATGTATCTCCCAAAAAGGAGAGGGTGTGCCCCTCTTCACGCCTCTCTCCTTTGTGTTGGCTGTAATGAAGATGTGAAGTCTGGAGCATATGCATCCATCTTGGATCATGGAGTGGAAGCCACACTCTGGAGGAACAACAAGATGAAAGGAACCCTGGCCCTTGGTGGACGCAGAGGCAGCACACCAATGCTGCACTGCCTGCCTTTGGATTTCCTTCACATGCAACAGAAATGAACTTCTATTTCACTGAAACCATTGGCATCTGGGTGTTTCCTGTCACAAGCCTCAGTGTCCTAACTGTGTGAATACTTCTGAGAAGAGGGTCCATTTGCCACTTTCATCAGATTCTCAGAGAGGACCTTGACTCCCCTAAAATATTAAGAACCACAGGCAAAATTAATTGAGGCTGAACAAATGGTGGGTGCCCTGGAGGATATTGTTTAATAAGGACCCAAGGGAGCCTGCTGGGAGGAGGAGATTCTCTATAATTTGATAGGGTGAAGTTTATACATAAGCAAAAATTCAGGGAGCTGTGCCCTGACAATCTGTGCACTTTACTGTATGCACATGAAGAACTACTGCTTATGAGGGCTGGCTGGGGAGCTCAGTTGGTTAGAGCACGGTGCTAATAACAAGGTCCAGGGTTCAATCCCTGTACCAGCCAGCTGCAAACAAAACAAAATGAAACAAACCCTGCTGATAATGAGGATGATGACAGTAACTAATGTTTTCCTAAGCATTTTGTATGTGCCAGGCGTTGTTCTATAAACACTTTGTATTAACCCACTCAGGTCTCACAATAATCCTCTAAGTTAGGGGCTGTGAGGAACCCAGCCACGGAGAGGTGAGTGGCTACTCAAGTCCACACGGTCTGCCGGGGTAGGGGTGGGATTCCAGGGCATGGGAGAGAGGAGTTGGCTGACTCTGGAGATACTCACGGAGTCCTTGAGTGCCAGGAAACAGTGGCAGATCCAGCGGCGGGTGGTCCCATCACGGCAGATATAGGAGAAAGCTTTGTCCAGGTTGCGATCAGGAGCACAAAAGGAGACCTTTTCGATGGTCTGGTCTACCAGCAGGTCCTAGGAGGGGCCAGGGAGGCCAGGAGAGGAGGATGAACTGTCTTTCATGAATTCATTCAACATTCCCTTAGTATCTGCTCTAAATCTCATCCTGAACAGGGTGGGAACCCAGCAGTCACTGAGATAGCCAGGGGCTTCCAGTTCAGTGGGGAAGCGAGATGGAGACAGCCCAGAATCACAGCCAGGCTGTAATGAAGGAGGCAGAGGGGTCAAAGCTAGGACGGGGGAGGCACAAGCAGAGGAGTCAGGGCTGGGATGGGGAAAGCCAACTTAGGGACTTGTAGGCTTCACGGAGCAGGAGCAGGCATTAACGAGGCAAAAAGGCAGGGAACAATATCAGGCGGAGGGAACTCCCTGTGCAAAGCTGGCGATCCTGTTCTGTCATTAACCCAATTCTCACCATATCCTAGGCACTTCCTCAGGCAGTCTCTGGGATGGGGGCCCAGGACTGAATGATAAGCAAACAGATATGCAGATCCTGGCCCCATGGTGCTCCTGTCTGGCTGGGCAGACTGACGATAAACACACAGCAGCTAACATTCACTGATCTAAGCACTTAGAATGTGCCAGACATAGTTTTAAACAATTTGCACATATTTTTTCATTTAATGGTAGGGTCTATTATTATCCCCATTTTTTTACTTGAGGCCACTGAGGCCCAGAGGGCTTACATCTCATGCCCAGGGTCCCTTAGCTGGGATCAGAGCTAAGGTGGCTGCTCCAGTCTGATCTCTACCAGCTCACAGATAACTACAGCTCTCATTCATAAACTATGACTGTGAAGCAAGCCAAGACCAGGCAGGAGCACATGGCGTAGTCTAGAAGGTCCCGAGGGAGGGACATCCCAGAGGGTATGAGAACGTGTCCTCAGCCCTGATCTAAGCAGGGAGAGCAGAGGGGCCCACTGGTGCCCACCCCCACCCCCACAGGCCTCTTACCTTGGTCTTGTCATCTACCACTCGGAGCCCATCGGCTGACACCCAGAGGACAGACTTCACGGACTTCCGGCCCATCTGGGGTGGGGGAGGGAGAGAGAGGGGCCTGGTCAGTGCTGCCTCTTCCTGTCTGACCCCGCCCACTCCCTGGCTTCAGCCCCTCGCTCACTGCTTTCAGCTTCTTTACAGCATCTTCACATACATGCATCCCTCGGGACTCTTCCACCTCCACGTGGCCCAGGTACTTGAGTGGGGAGATGGGAGGACATGAAATAAGCACAGTAATCAATAATTCTCAGTGTTCACTGAGCATCTGCCATGCATCAGGCAATGTTCCAAGCATATCATATGTATTAATTCATTTACTCTGCACCTCAACTCTACAAGAGATGCAGCCCATTCCTAGCCCAGATATGCAGATGAGAAAACTGAAGCACAGGGCATAGTAGTGATTCCTGTCCCGCCTATATCCCTGGGCCTTAACACTTCACTGTTGTCCTTCTGAGTGCCAGCATTCACATCTCTGTGCCTAAGGACTGACCCTGGGCTATGCCAGGCTGCTGTGCCCACCCTGAAGCAGGTAGAAAAGGCCTGGGCCAATTCCCTGCAATGCCTGATGGGAGTTGAGGTACAGGCATCCCAGTTCCCTCACCCGCAGGTGGGATGACTGTTTCCCAGAGTTCCCCAGTGGGATTAAGCTCAGTTGCCCACAACTGCAGTTTAATAACATACCCTTTTTTGGCTGCCTTCCCTTCCTCACAACCACCAGCATTTCCTGCACTTCACAAATGAACCCCTCACAGCCAGGAGAGGGTCCCTTCTAGAAGAAGGGAAAAATAAGACAGAGAAGCTATGACCATCGTCTGTCAACCAGCCAGGAAGGGACTAAGCTGGGATTTACACTCAGGTTGGCCAACCTCCACAGTCCATGCCCTGAGTGCTGCTGTCTCCCTTATAAAAGTGTAGCATATGTTGCAAAGAGTCATGGTTGTCTAAGCCAGAAAGTCCTTAACAGTAGAGCACTTTACAAATGCCACAGAATTTCTGTGAGCCCCATAGAGTAGGGTGCCCCCCCCCCACAGGATGTCCCCCTGGTAATATTCTCCTATTATAAGAGAATGTGTCTTGGTTTTTAATACCAACTTTGAAGGGCGTGGGGTCTTGCTCCAGCAGGCTCCCCAGTTCCTTGAGAATGTGAAGACTCTTGCTCATAGCATAGGGACTTTAGTGATCTTGCCCAGAGCCCCAGGACGTACGTGTGCACAGCACCATGGCCGCACGCCCCGTGCCCGGCCCACTCACCCTGACCGGGAAGCTGCATGTGCCCTTGCGCACCGCGTCCTCATCTGCCTGCCACTGGTGCGGGCGTGATGCCTCTGGCACGTAAGCAGGCTTCCTCCTCCGTAGACTCTGCCGTAACTTGTTCATGGTGCCTGCCCCGTCTGGTGACACAGGACAGTGATGTAGGTCAAGGGCGGAGGGAGGTCAGAAGGAAAATATAGGGTTCAAGGGGAAGGGACACACTGCTCAGGGAGCACAGGGTCAGATATCATGGGAGTGGGGTTACAGGGTCACTGGTCAGAGCACACGGGATCAGCAGCTGAGGGGGTACCCAGAAAGGAAACAACAGAAGGCAGGGAAGTGTGAGAGTTGGGCAATGGGGCATGGAGGTCTGGGGATGTGATATACAAGAGGAATGAGGATCCAAAGGAGGAGAAGTCAAGGCATTGGAGAGCAGGGAGTTAGAGGGTATAGGGGTCAAGGGTTGCAAGATCAGGTTTTAAGGGTATGAGCATCAGGAGATAGAGGGATCAGTGGCACAGGAGTTGGGAGTTATGTGGGTCAGCGTGCAGAAGTCAGGCGTGTGGCTGTGGGAGTCGGGGCTCAGAGGGTCCAGAGCCCAATCTGTGGGTTGTAGGTGTGGGGATAGGGCCTCGTCTCTGTACCTCTGAGACATAGCCCCTCTCTGACAACTGGGTCTGGTCTGAGGCAAGGCCTCTGGGGTGGTGTGCACCTGTGACTGCAGAGGTAGGACTGTGTGTGCCTGGGGTGAGGGTGGAGGTGGCCAGCCATGAGGACAGTCTTCATTGACTAAGCCATCCTGACAGTCCCAGGAGGAGGTTGAGGGGACACCAGGGACTGGGAGCACCAACAGCAGACAGCGGCTCTGTGTGTGTGTGTGTGTGTGTGTAAGCAAGTGTGCAACGGTGTGTTCCAGAATGGTGCCCGTGAGGGTGTCAATATCTGAGCATGCAACTATTGTCTGTGAGTGTGTGCATTTCTGAAGGCTGTATGGAAGGATGCATGTCTGACAGTGGTTGTTTATGAGAGTGTGTCTGTGAATGCTGTCTGTGAGGGGGCGTGGGTCCAAGAACGTGGTTGTCTGTGAGTGTACATCCTGAAGGTTGTTGCTGAAGGACATCAATGTCTGAGAGTGGTTGTGTGTCAGTGCATGCTGAGAGTGCAGTTGTTGAGAACTTGTGTTTCAGTGCATGTTGTCTGTGTGTGTGTCATGTTTGAATTTGCTGCTGTTATCTTCAAAGGGTAGGTCCATGGCCATTGTCTGCGAAGCTGTGTCTCTGTGTGAGTCTATCTACTGTCTTTGATGACTGCTGCCTCTGAGAGTGTGCATCTGTGAGAGTTCTCCACAAGACCGTGTCTATGTCAAGAGTACAGCTGTTGCTGATGAGACTGTGAGGCTGTGGCTGTTGTTTGTGAGAGTGTGTCTGTCAGAGCATGTGGCTGTTATCTTAGAGAGTGTGGGTGCATGAGTATTGTTCTGAGGGTGTGTCTGTACGCAGTGGTGCATCTGTGAGAGTGTGTGTGAACATGAGGTTGTTGTCTTTGAGAGTGTGTTCATGAGTGTTATTTGTGAGGGTGTGGCTGCTGTCTATGAGAGCGCTGAGTATTCTTTGTGAGACTATGTCTGGGTCTGCACAAAAATGTAGCTCTGTGAGAGCCTGGGTCCGTGGGTGCTGTATGTGAGGCTGTGTCTGTCTGAGAAAGTGTGGCTGTTGTCTGTAAAAGTGTGAGTCAGTGTGTGTTGTCTGGGAGACTGTGTGTCTCTTCAGAGTGTATATCTGAGAGTCTGTATCTGGCGGGTACCTGTGGTTGCCTATGTGTGACTGTCTGGGTGTGTCTGGGAATGTGTCTGTATGTTTGTGTGTGTGTATCCATCCATGTGAACATATATGTGTGTCTGTATGTTGGTGTGAGTGAATATCTACTTAAGTATATCTTCAAGTGTGTCTGTCACTGTGTTAAGTGTGTGTGGATCCGAAAGAGATAGTCATCTGTGTGTGTTTGTAGAAGTGTGTCTGAGTGTGTGACAGTTGCGACAGTGACCCTGCATCTGTGATTGTGAGGATGTCAGTGTGGTGTCTGTCACTGTGTTAAGTGTGTGTGGATCCGAAAGAGATAGTCATCTGTGTGTGTTTGTGGAAGTGTGTCTGAGTGTGTGACAGTTGCGACAGTGACCCTGCATCTGTGATTGTGAGGATGTCAGTGTGTGTGTGTTTGTGTGTGTGATAGTCTAGGGGTGGGTGGCTATGAATGAATACGGCTTTGATGGTCACTGAGTATGCAGGGAAGATGTCTGAGGGAGTCCACTCATGAATGCAATTAAGTTTGTTTGACTGTGGGGACAATCCCTCTAGTTACGTTAGGTAAACCCACCTACCCGCCCTGCCCCTGCTCTGTCTCAAGCTGGTCACGGTCACTGAGTATGCAGGGAAGATGTCTGAGGGAGTCCACTCATGAATGCAATTAAGTTTGTGTGACTGTGGGGACAATCCCTCTAGTTACGTTAGGTAAACCCACCTACCCGCCCTGCCCCTGCTCTGTCTCAAGCTGGTCATTCACCTGGCTCCGTCCTGGAGGTTTCAGGGGGCCCCAGGGCCCCACAAGGGGCTGGGGGCAGATGCCGCTCAGGCCTCCTGGGTCTGTCCTGCCCAAGAGAGGGAAGAAAATTTGAGAAGTAAGTTGGGGGTGGGGCTCAGTCCCCCATGACTCCACCTTTGGACTTCAGCCAACCCCTCCATCTCAGGCTACCTGATGAGAGCCCTAGTTGTCATAGCAACTATTACCAGGGAGATCAGCCACCTGGTTCTAAGGGCCCCAAAATGAGTAGGTGGGGGGGGCAGTTATTGGGGCTGTACTGGATTCAGGAGGCCCTCAATAACCAAGGGGATGGTGTGAGGAGAGAGTGGCCTTGCCCTCTAAACACATGTTCAGAGCAAAACACAGTTGTCACAGCTCTGCACAGTTAAACACAGACATGATCACAGCTACACACCTCAGATCACACAGAACACATAATTACAACCACAGACAACTGCCACTATAAATATCTGGTCACATGTTCGTGTTTACAGACACACAGAGTCTCTATTACAGATATTTGTCCACATGCATGTAGTGTCTCAGCCCACATTGGCCCCACCACAGACACCTGGTCACACCAGCTACGGATATTTGGTCACTTCCATTTTCTCAGCCACACAAAAAGAGCTGGGCTCAGGCACACCCACCAGAGTGGCACGTGTACAATCAGGTGCCACCCAAGATAGCCACATCACAGGCCCACCCAGACAGAATCACACCCAGTCAGAGTTCACCCATTTGGTCACCCAGTCACAAAGTAACATTATCACAGCTACACACAATTGTCACACATATCTCCACTGCTGCACACTGACATCTGGTCGTGGAAGCACACAGATTGACTGACACACATTTGGTCTCATAAAGACCACACACAGCCATGCTTGCACATGGACATCCAACGCCAACTGTATCAGTCACACCAACATACCTTTTTTGGTCACACATTGTCACACCATCATATCTAGTCATAGTTGCTCACATTTGGTCACAGAATCAGTCACACAGTCTTCTGTCACAGTGTCACAGTCACACTTACATGGTCAGTTCTTTCTCTACACACAGCTACACACTGAGATACCTGTGGCTATAGCCCTGTGCATTATAGAGAAACAGACACACATTAGGCATGGCATGCAACCACCCAAAGACAACTATCCCCAAGGATGGCCACCCTCAGACATAGCCATACACATTCTGGAAGTGGTTATGTATGCACAGTCACACAGCATCAGTGTCCACATTACCCAGCCATCTATCACAGTTATAATACCATCACCTAGTGTCCCATATACCCCACCTAGTGTACCATGTCATACCACCACAGAGAAAGTTTCTCTTCATTCAGAGACAAGCACTGACATCTGGTCGTGGAAGCACACAGATTGACTGACACACATTTGGTCTCATAAAGACCACACACAGCCATGCTTGCACATGGACATCCAACGCCAACTGTATCAGTCACACCAACATACCTTTTTTGGTCACACATTGTCACACCATCATATCTAGTCATAGTTGCTCACATTTGGTCACAGAATCAGTCACACAGTCTTCTGTCACAGTGTCACAGTCACACTTACATGGTCAGTTCTTTCTCTACACACAGCTACACACTGAGATACCTGTGGCTATAGCCCTGTGCATTATAGAGAAACAGACACACATTAGGCATGGCATGCAACCACCCAAAGACAACTATCCCCAAGGATGGCCACCCTCAGACATAGCCATACACATTCTGGAAGTGGTTATGTATGCACAGTCACACAGCATCAGTGTCCACATTACCCAGCCATCTATCACAGTCATAATACCATCACCTAGTGTCCCATATACCCCACCTAGTGTACCATGTCATACCACCACAGAGAAAGTTTCTCTTCATTCAGAGACAAATCACACAGAAAAGCATGTGGCCACACATTATCACAGGTGAACAATGTCACAACCCCACCTACACACATAGAGACGCAGCATGTAGTTTCAATTCCCCACATCACAAGTACACAGCCAGTATTACACCAAGGTCAAGGGTTCAGATCCCCACACCGGCCAACCACCAAAAAACAGACAAGTAGACAGTTGGGTGTATGCACAGAAATGCAGTGACCCAGATGTAGCATTTATAGCTGGGTGTACACAGAAGACATGGCCCCTGACAGAGCCATGGGCACAGATTCAAACACAAGAAGTCCAGCACACACTCAAAATCAGCCACACAGCAACATATAACACACACTCTCACAGACTATGACACAGACACAAGTACATATAGTCACTCAGGGTCACAGACATGCAGGTCAAACACAGGAATATAGAAGCCACAGTCATATACACACCCACACATAGTTGCCTGGCACCAGCACACACAGACACATCCATAGCTTGTCACACACAATTAGATAACCCCTCCTAATAGTTAGTCAGAGTTTCAGACATCAAGTCAAATATACAACCCAAATCACACATATGAGATTATAAATATACACAATCACTCAGTATCACACACACAGCTAGATCTAGTCATTTATGCAACCCCAGTCACACACACAGACATGGCTATGAACACACAACACTGTCACACGCACTGCCATCACACAACCCCAGTCACATAAGCACAACATGACTTCAGATAGGATGGCAGTCACACACTCACAGTTGCACAGAGTTGTATGTCACACATGTATATAAAATTGGTTATAGATACAACCACAAACATTCTCAGTCATTGGAAGAGTCACACATGGACATGAAGTCATAGACAGAACTCCACTTACACACACAGTCACAACTCCACCCACATCTTCAGTCAGTCACACACATGCCCAACCCTAGACTCAACACACATACTGTGACATACCCAGTTATAGTTACCAAGGCACACAAACACAGGGTCACAAAAGACATAATCACAGACACAACCACACAGTCACAACCATGCACACACTCAAACAGATAGATTAAAACATGCAGGATTCTTAGTGAGCAGCTGTTATACACACATACACAGTCACACAAATACACAGACACAATCATAGAAATACAGCGCAGGATTCCTCACAGTCTCCAGCTGCAGCGCATGCACACACACACGGCCACAGTCACAAACATGGGGTCACACGCCTAGCCATCTACCCACCGCTTGTTTTCCCCTCTTCTCCCCAGGTACCACACACAAAGCCGCTGTCACCGCAGAGTCCACAGACACAGACGGGGCTGCACCCGGTCCCTAAGGAGCCACCCCCAGCCAAGCCTGAATCCTGGAGCCTGGGGGGCCAGGTCCGGGAGGGGGAGGTGGCGCATTGTCTACGGGTGGGGACTCTCTTGGACAGCTGGGCAGCCCTAGGGACAAAGCGGGTGGCCTAGGAGACCTCTGCCCTGGAACCTTAGACCAAGCATGGTGGTGGGGGGGGGGTGTTGGAGGTTGCCTTAAATTACCCTTATTCTATTCAAGCTGGAGTGTGATAAGGTGGGGTGGACTCCCAGGCACGTACCTTCTTTTGAGAGGGGGTTGTGCCTGGGACACCGCCCAAGGGCTGGGGGTTCGGGCCGGGGGGCAAGTGTGATGCTGTCCCCAGGACGCTTCTGGGTCCTGGGGGCACCCTGTGCCTTGAATCCTCCCAGGCCTTGGCTCGGTGGGGAAACTGTACCCAGCGAACCCATCGTCAAGACCTTGCCTAGGGGGTTGTGCTAAGAGACCTTCTCAGGCAGGGAATGGTAAGGATTGTGTCTGGAATCACCTCCCGGAGGCCTTGGCTTGATATGGGGGCTGTGTACCCCATCCCCCAAACCTTTTCTAAGGAGTTGTACCTAGAATCTCTGGAATCACCTCCCGGAGGCCTTGGCTTGATATGGGGGCTGTGTACCCCATCCCCCAAACCTTTTCTAAGGAGTTGTCCCTAGAATCTCTGTCCCCCGTCCTTGATTTTTTTTTTTTTGCGGGGGTGGAGGGGCTCTGCGTCCAGGATCCTATCTCCAGGGCCTTGCCAAGAGATGGCCTGTGCCCGAGACCCCCGTCTCCCGGGCTTTGGCTTGGTGGGGGCCAGTTCTTGGACCCCCACCCAGGACGACCCTCTCCAGCCTTGGCACCCTCTTTCCATCCGGGCGCCGCGGCCGCCTCCCACCCTCCGCCCTGCTGTACCG